TAAGCCCAATATAAAACATGATCTGCAGCCTCCTAGTAACGTTAGCCTATAACATGTTCAGTGTCATTTAGAAAATACTTTTCTAAGTTAGAGAAAGCCTATTGTCTAGATTCTAGATGGTGACAAGTTTGTCATTTGGAAAATTTTTGCTCTGTGATCTTTAGCTGTCTTCATAAGTCTTCCTTAATAAGATTTGCTCTTTTAGTCAGATGAGGCTAGAGTTAAGATTATAGTTTGTTCACGTTCCTCACATTTGAGTTAGCTTTTTTTTGTTGTCGTTGTTGGTGGTCATTTTGAGACAGGGTCTCCCTGTAGCCCCAGCTGCCCTGGAACTTGCTATGTAGACCAGGCTGGCCTGGAACTCAAAAAGATCCACCTGGCTCTGCCTCCTGAGTGCTGGGATTAAAGGTATGCACCACCATGCCTGGCTTGAATGTATAATTTAGTTGTAACAAACTTACAAGCTCCTGCTCTGTGCGGAAGAATTTAAGCCTCATAAGGTTGTTAAGGCAGATAGGCAAGGAACATGAGGAGAGTTAAGCCAGATCCAAATAAGTGGACAGTGCTATGGAAAAATTTTCCTGTAGTAGAAACCTAAAGTCTGGATCATGTAGCACTGTTTTTCATCAGTTATATTTCATGACTATACATAGTTTGAAATTTGCTTATCCCCGAGTATGGATATAAAGTCATCATCCCTGAGTAGTTTTGAAATTGCTTCTTTAAAATATTTTCACAAAATTGTTGTCTACCTGAAAAATGTTTTCCAAAAGTAAAAGCGAGCCAGTAATTTGAGTCTAATTTTAGTCACTAAATAGGGCTGATGGCTAAATTTCAAGGGTCTTTCTTGTCCTGTTACTATGATACTGGCATCTTTCTTAATTACTTTGTATTATACTCTATGTATCAGCATTCTGAAAGTTGGATTGAACATATCCGTAAGTAAAATTATTTTGTTTATATGGTTTACTTTCAGATTAAAATCTGAGACCTGTGTGTGTCAATAGATAAGACTTTGGACTTTACTGTTCCCTTCAGCTTTAATCATTTTCTGTATTTCCCTTCAGCTTCTGTAACCTGTTACACAAAATGAGCCAATTCTTTAAATCCTAGTGTTTTTGAGTTTTAAATTCCATTTTGGAAATATGCCAAAGGCTTCTGTTGGTGACATATAAGAGCATTGTAAATTTTCATTGTTGTTAACTGTAATAAGCCCAATATAAAACATGATCTGCAGCCTCCTAGTAACGTTAGCCTATAACATGTTCAGTGTCATTTAGAAAATACTTTTCTAAGTTAGAGAAAGCCTATTGTCTAGATTCTAGATGGTGACAAGTTTGTCATTTGGAAAATTTTTGCTCTGTGATCTTTAGCTGTCTTCCTAAGTCTTCCTTAATAAGATTTGCTCTTTTAGTCAGATGAGGCTAGAGTTAAGATTATAGTTTGTTCACGTTCCTCACATTTGAGTTAGCGTTTTTTGTTGTCGTTGGTGGTGGTCATTTTGAGACAGGGTCTCCCTGTAGCTCCAGCTGTCCTGGAACGCACTATGTAGACCAAGCTGGCCTTGAACTCACAGAGATCCGCCTGCCTCTGCCTTCCGAGTGCTGGGATTAAAAGTGTGCGCCACCACGCCCAGAGTTAGCTTTATTTTTAATGTTTCAATTGATTGTAGAATATTTCTATATGATTTTAAGTCAGTATTGCCTGTTAGAGTCCAATCTTCTTAAGTAACAATTTTTTATCTTGAGTATGAAAATTATATGTATTGTAGAACATTGTACCTTGTAGAAAATAAAAAAGCATCCACTAATCTGAAATTGTTACCGTTTTGATGAGGGCTGGAGAGGTAACCTGTGATACAAAATGAGCCAATGGGTTAAGTGCTTGCTGTGCAACCCAAAATGGCTTAGTGGGTTAAGTGTTTGCTGTGCAAGCATGAGGACCCGATTTGGATCCAAGACCCTGTGAAAAGCCTGATGGAGTTGTGCCCATCTACAGTCCTACCATTCTGCATAGAGGTGGGCAGTGGAGACAGTGCAATGTTGAGAAGTTCATGGGTCAGCTAGCCTGGCCTGCACAGCCTTAAGTGAAAGAGACCCTGTCTCTAAAAGATAGAAAGCAAGGATGGACACCTGGGGCTGTTCTCTGACCTCCATGCATGCTGTGGCACATGTGTCTGCATTCACACATACCTGCACAGACAAAACAATAAATTGTAGAGAGATTATGAGAACAGTACATTTCATTCGTCTCATTCACTCATCTCATTCCTGTACATTTTTGTCAACCTAGCTATGATTCTTTGTATATACATGTTTATATATTTGTTAAAATTGGGATTTTACCATTTGGGGAAGTTTAAAGTATTATAAAATTGTATTTTTTTTTTTAAATATATTTGAATGGTAATAGATCCTATTCACTAGATGTATCCACACCATTTAAATGGTCTTCAGTTGCTAGATGTATAGACTGTTTATGTTTTCTTTCTTTCTC